GCTAAGAGCCTTCCGTGTTACATAAACATATTCTCAGAAAAGTAGCACTGCGGCCACAAGTAAATATAAGAAGACCTCATTCTGGGTTTATCGCACTTCCCTCCGATCCGTATATTCCAGATCATTGACTGCTCCTACAGGCAGGGAAATGCACAACAGTGTGACGGGAGAACCTGGGATAAGTTCAGCTTCATGTGACGCAGAAACCACGAGAGAAAGCTGCCGTTTTGAGCAGCAATTGTGTCTTTTCTCACAACGGGCACACCCTCCTCCAGATGTTCACACTTTAGCTGTAAGTCTGTCATAAGCCTTGCCTGTAGTTGGATGCGGCTGCACAATCCACTCACCTAGCAAGTTACCGATTAATCAGGCCTTTTGGATCCATGGAGTCGATGCCTTTTTAGTCCATGTAAAAATAGTTATTAATCAGCCTTTTAAATGGACTAAAAAGGCAATGCTAATTGATGGCAATACTTGTTTAAGGTCGGAATACAAGGCCAAAAACCCCCTGAGGGAAAAAGAGGCTCACTTGAGAAAGAGGCCATCTAAAACTGGTCCAAAACCAGTGCAGTCCATTCGCAAGGTGAGACGTCCCTCTGCCTTGTTGTTAGCCGGTCGGGTGAGGCTGGTATTCAAAGCACTTAGAACAGGAAGGTCACTGGTCCAAAGCAACTGGTTTGGGAATGCAGACGTGCCTTCTGTTCTTCAAAGGAACTTTACCTTTGGCTTATATTTTACTATCCTTTGCAAATTTCAATAAACCTCTGAAACAATCACTGTTGTTACCATTTTGCAGATGCACAACTGAAAACATTAGCATTTTCGATTGCGCATTTGGACTGCGGCTATGCCAAAAATATCTTCCCCGTGCAATAGAAAAGAAACTGATTTAGAAAATGCTTTTCGAATGAGAAGAACGTTTCGTTTAAATCCTCATGGAAGGCGTGCAGATTGCTTGTGTTTCCCATAGTGGTGCAGGGTGGGTCGAGCAGACTCTCTCTCCAGCAGACGGCAGCCTCCCCGAGGAAGTCTTTATTTAAGCCTCAACGCAACTCCTCCCGAGGGATATTTTCCAACCAGGATGTGCGGGCAGCTGGAGAGACTGCAGAGCAGTGGAAATATGCATGAAAAGAATGTGGAGGACACAAGTAGTCCAGGTGGGCATCCTGCAAGAATAGTGAAAGCTCAAACACACAGTTAAAAGATATTCCAAAGGCTGAGTCTCGGTGAATAGTCTGAGAAAGAGACCAGAAACCCTATGAGAAGGCAGAATTCTGTACAGCACAACGGGAAAAGTCTGATCTCCTTGCACCTCTTCTAGAGGGGAGGGTTGGGGAAAGAGGACACTGTGGAAGGCCCGGGAGAAACTCCGTTTCTTCCTTTATGCAGCCAGGGACTCGCCTGAAGCCACCCAGTAAAGCTGCGACTAAAATGGATTAGACACCCGAGCTTTAAGTCCAATATTCTCTCCCACTTGGGACACAATCCGTTCTCCCACATCAGCCGTATCAAAAAAATGCATGGAGCTGAGCAGGCGTCTTACTGGGAGGCTTCTGTACCTCCTGGTGGATTGGACATTATGGTGTGCCCTGCAGTGAAGTTGGGACACCCATGAAACAGGGATGGAGCACTGAGCATCCACCTCACGATACTTCAGTCAGGGTTTATTTCCACTATGTGTGTGCGCGAAAGAGGTTTTCCTTGGGCCAGCTATAAAGTGTCAGGACAACTTTGCTAACCATGCATGAAAAATAGTCCGGACAACAGTCCTGGGATTACAAACCCATTGACTCCACCAGCACTGTTATCCTTTCTCCCACCACATTCATCTTCCCTGTTGTGAAGGATGTCCCATGCACTGAAATTGTCAAAGCTCTAAGACCAAGAGCATCCAGTGAGCTGACACTGACTCTCTCTGTTCTCCCTGCATTATGTTCCCATCAAATGTTTGCTGACACACCCAGGTGGAATATGAAGCATGAGGGCGTTGGAGGCAACCTGGGCAAGTGTCTTCTCTCGCTTCCTCTTCCCGGCACCCATCCCCCAGCAGAACAGAAACGAAAGAGTTCCTTCATTACTAAAATAATTTGCACAATAATAGAAATAACTAACTGCTCGGCAGATTCTCTAGAGGGATGGTTTTCCTGCTCTCCCCAACAAACCCTGCCTGTGTGCTCATTAACAGCGAATTGAATTTGCATTCCATTTCCAGAACCAAGTAAGGAGATGGATAACTGCTGTATAATAAGCACTCTGGTTTTCAGGAAGATAGGCAAGGACAGTGACTTGGCATTCTTTCAGATCCAGTCTCAAATATCTACTACGCAATGCATTACCCCTTCATTGCATGGGATAGGAGGAGAAAAAGCCAGAGTTTTGCTAGCTTTCTGCCTTCCCAGTGAGCACCCGAGGAGGCTCAGACTTGCACCCATACTCGGAGATCTCTCAGCTTAAGTGTAAGGCTCCTAAGCTCAGGCTGCAATTCCGGGGTGAGCATTTTTCCAGGCATTGCCATTACAGCCGATTGGCACTCCAGAAAGGGTTGTCTTCTCCTGGCGTCCCTTCAGGGTTTCCGTAAGACCTCTCCTGTGCTGCTCTTGAAGAAAACAGGCAAAACAATTCTTGTTCGCATCATGCTCTCCATGTACGTGACACTTTCAAAGAAGGGGCGGCTGCATCTTTGCCCCATGGCTTACCCTTCATGGGAAGTGACACTGGAGCAAACAGCAAAGCACAAATGCATCCACTATTTCCTGGCATCATAGAGGCTAAGTTCTAAGTTGTTTCTGACATGGAGTTTGACTTGCTCTGAGCTCCTGCTGAGGAAGCATCATGGCTTGAAGGTTCTCCGTCCCTCACCTGTCTTCACCTGCAAGCTGCAGAGAGGAAGAAGAGAAACAGTGCAGGACCTTTCCACCCAGAGGGGCAGTTTGAGATGAGTGGGGGGGGGGAGGGGGCAGGTTTGTCCTCCAGGCCTAAGGTTTGCACCTCAGCTCTAAAGCTAAATGTGGTATCTTGCTGGTTGTAGCTTGCTGCTGAAATGTGGTGTCAGCTCTCTGATCATTTTTCTGATGCTGTTGCAGAGTAAATTTGGCTTTGGTGCACCTGATGGGGCCCTGTGCTGTCCAATCCTGTTGTAAGGATTATTTCTTGCAGCAAGTAAACAAGAAGCCCTGATGCACAGAGTGGCACAGGCTTTTCTGGTCCTGAGCTCCCTTTTCAGATTCACCAGGTGCTTTCCTATGCATCCCAAGGTATACATATGCAGATAGAAAGATGGAGGTGGGGGAGTTTGTCACTGTGAGATCAACAGGCCAAGCATGGGAAAGCAGGGTTGCATTTCTCTGCAGAGCATAACTGAATACAAGATCCAATCAGCATGGGCATGATCCGCCCCCAGCTGGTGGTAGATTGTCTGTGCAAGGTGTCATGAGCATATAAAGTGGACCAGTTAATTCTCTGAGTGCAAAAGCCATTCCCAGTGCTTGTCGAGTCCAAATCCTACATAGTAGGAAGAATTGTCATCAGAGTCCTCTGCCTCTGTGGCTTTAATAACGCCAAACCTGAGCTTCCTTAAACTCGATCTGATGCATACCCAGCTGACTTGACCTACTTTGTATGTACCTCTGTAGAAAAGGAAGCCATTAGGAAGAATTTGATTTCCACCCACCCCTTTAAAAAGAATTCTTTGCAAGCCCAGGATCACACCCTGGCTGGGGATTTGGTTTCTCCAAGATAATCTTGCAGCACCTTTACTGAAGGTAGAAGAAGGAATGATTGCTTGCTGGGGGTGAGGATTACTAATTACTGTATCATTAGAAGTCAAGGGAGGGGAAATTCTCCCTCTCTGTTCTGCCTCTGACACACTTGCCGGCACCTGCCTTTGGAGCCGCACTTGCAGAAGCTGCTTGAAATGCATCATGGAAGTTGCACATGTCTCTAAAGTCTTTGCTGCGTGTGTTTTCCCCATCAACCCATTTCTTTTCATAGGCTCCGTCTTGACTCCCATCCACATTTCTCTTTCATCTGTTCGCAGGCAGGATGGGAGGAAGGTGCTCTAAATTAGAAGTTGCTCGCATGCCACTTTTCGCCAACTTTCAAATGAAGCTGATGGGTGGCAGGATTAGGACTGATCAAAGGGAAGGACTTCTTTGCACAATGTATAGAATTTGCTGCTATGGGAAGTGATGTTGGCTGCCAATTAAAAGGGGATGGGACAGAGTCGCGAGGGAGGAGTCTCTCCGTGGCTACGAGCCTGGCCACCCATGGGCTCCCACCTTCACCAGAGGTGCCCTGCCTGCACACACCTGTTGCGGAGGAGCTTGGGTAGGAGGAGGTCTTGCACCCATCCTGCTGGAGGGATCCTGTGGGCAGCTGGTTGGGCACCGTGTGTATGGAGTGCTGAGCTAGATGGACTTTTGGTCTGCTTCAGAGGGGCTTGTCTTATCTCCTTGTGCTCTGATAAAGGCCATGATCCAATGACTCTTCCTACATGTGCATTCAGGGTTTCCATTTGTGGATCACTAAAACTGTAGGCCACATCTCCAGTATTCCTAATAGTTTAATAATACCCACAAGAGATGGGTATAGTTCCAGATGCAACCAGGAGATCAGAGTTTTTGAGTGGTTGGACCTTGGGTCTGATCCAGCATAGCTGTTCTTATGTTGTTAAGTGGTTTTTCTTCTTACTCTTGTGGCAACCGGGAAGGGGTGCCAGGGATGACCCTCTCCTTTAGTCTGGATGTCATCCAAGACACAGGATCTGGGGGTGGAAGTGGTGAGTTTTGAAGAGTTCTCCATAGAAAAGCTGGGAACCCAACGAGGAGGAGGGAAGCTTTGCATGTGTGGAGTATCTCTCTCTCTGTCCCGGAGGACCTGGTGTCACTCATGTCCAGTTTGATGTGGTAATGAAGCATTAATCACCGATGAGGAGAGAGAGAGAGAGACAGCGAGAGAGAGATGAACTGCCCTTTACTCATTCATTATTTTTTATCTCCTAGCTGTGGAAGACAGAAAATTGTTCATAGGAATGGTTTCAAAGAAGTGTAACGAGAATGATATCCGGGTGATGTTTTCCCCATTTGGTCAGATAGAAGAATGCCGGATCCTCCGAGGACCAGACGGGCTGAGCAGAGGTGAGCGCGAGGCTCCTATCAAACGCTCTTCTTTTAAAGTGCTAATTGGAGTTGGATGTCATGGTCAGGGGAGACGAAGTCACTATCGGCAGCGAGAGGCTGAGCTTGGAAACGTGCCACGTGGCAGACTAACCCCTGTGGAACTGTGCTTTTTTTTCTTTTGCTTTGTTTTGCTTTGTTTTTAGTGGAACCTGAAATAGGCATTTTTTTCCTTTAAAGTCTGAGAGGTTCTAAGTGGCAACAAATATGACGTCACCCTCTTTGTCAGGCAGACGATTACACCCGACAATCTCTCCCGGCCATATTGTGTACACAGAGGGTGCTGGGATGAGAGGAGAACACACCTGTTGTGGAGGGCCTGTTGTTGGTGTCCAGATGGAATGGGCATCCCTGGGAGGTGGTTGAGGCCCCATCGGTGCGGGTGTTCAAGGATAGGCTGGACGTGCACGTGGTGGGCATGCCATGAGTGAAGCTGGCTGGAGCTGGGGGTCGTACTAGAAGGCCTGGGAAGCCCCTTCTGACTCGCTCTGTTTCTGTTTTTCTAAGAGAAAACAAGTGGGTTACTGAGCATCCTCATAGACTGAAGATAAGGCTGAGAGCACAACCAGGCTGGGGAAGTGATAAGAAAATGGCACTTCCTGACAGTCAGGACCCCGAGGGTGTGGAATGGGCTTCCAGGGGAGGTGGTTGAGGTCCCATTGGTGCGGGTGTTCAAGGATAGGCTGGACGTGCATGTGGTGGGCATGTCGTGAGCGCAGCCGGCTGGAGCCGGGGGTCAGACTAGATGGCCCAGGAGGTCCCTTCTGACTCACTCTGGTTCTCTGTTTCTAAATCACCCCACGGTCAGGGGTGGGAGGCAGGCTTTGCTTGCAGTTCTAAGCCGTCCCCGAGTCTCGTGCTGCCGTTTTCTCTGTGAGCAGGCATGTTGCCCATTTGCACGAGAGAAAGTCGGAGAGGGATGTGGAGACAGCTGCCTCTGTTGTCCCTCACCTTTTCCCTCGCAAGCGTGGTCTTCCCTGCCTAGCTGTCCCTCTTTCACCTGAGCACGATGGAATGTTCTACAGTAGCCTCTGTATCCCACCTGGATAACACACCTGCAGGTTAGTAGGATGCCATGGCTGGCCAGCAGGTGAGCTGGCCATTCCTAAAAGCAGTGTTGGGCAGCTTTGGAGGGGCTGGGAGCCAGGGTCCACTCTGGGGGTCTCCTATCCTCCCACCACCAAAATAGTCACCCTCCCCATAAAAGGGAGGTACATACCTGAAAGCAAGGTACATGTGGAATGTACACCTTGCTTCAGAGAACACTCAGGCTCCTGGAAGCCCCAGGGCACACATTAAAACAAGGCACAGAGTCCCTGCAACACTTTATTTTGAGATAAAAATGTGGCTTTTTTCTTTGCTGCTGCTGCAGCCTGCCAAAACTCAGTGGCGATTCTGAGATGCCGCTGTGCCCATTTCAGAGTAGTGGAGGCTGCAGATGAGGCCCATGGGGACACATGTGAGCTGTGCCGTCCCCCCCCCCCCATGTTTTAAAGGGGTTCAGGGTGATACAGGCTGGTGCATCCTGCAGATGTGCAGATGTGATGCCCAGGGGAAGGGAGAAATTGCAGATGCCAAAGAAAATGCAGAGATAGTGGAAGGAGAAAAGAGATAGTGGAAAAACCATAAATCAGATAGTGTTACCCTGTGCATTTCTGTGCATCCCTACTCAGAAGTAAGTCCCTTTGAGTTCACTGAAACTTAATTCCAGCTACCTGTGGATCCTGTTGCAGTCGAAACGGCCTTGTTTCATGTCCTCTGTTTGAGGAGAAATAGGCAGGTTTCTTTATCTGGAAATGATTCCTGTAGATGTTACGGTGGAGTGTATGAGGGTCAGTGAGAAATGTCAAGATACTCCTGGGAGCTGTATGATAGAGTGATGTGATTTTCCACCGGGGGCGTGATTGGGCTCCACGTGCCCCTTGTCTAATTCGAAGAGCCATCTGCAAAGTTTGGATGCCTGTGAAGAGCAGTCGGCCCCAGGAGCAGCTGCAGGAAGAAGTGGGATTGAAGGGAAGGGAAGAAAAAGAGAACATGGGACAAAGTGGAGAGACAGGGAGAATTGGGTTGCCGAGAAAGAGATAGAAGGGGTAGTGAAACGGGGGGGGGGGGGGGGGAGGGGGGGGGGGGAGGGGGGGGGGGGGGGGGGGAGACAGGGAGAGAGAGAAAGGGGTGGCTGAAAGAGAGAGAAAGGGAAGGGATCATTGACAAAGGTGAAAAGGATGCTCTGATCACTTTATCTCCAGACTTGGCCTACCACCAGCTTGCATGCCTGGACAGAGGAGCCCAAGGGAATGTAGTTACAGGCCATGAAAAGATACCATTCCTCTCATCTGTGGGTGTTTGTTTGTTTGTTTGTTTGTTTATTTATTTATTTAACACTTCTTTAGACCATCCCTTACCGTCATCTCGGGATGGTTTAACAGTAAGACAAAAGAGAATAAAGTACAGCATCCTAATCAAATTCTTAACCTATCAACAACAAAACCCATATTAAAAATAGTCAAACCTTAAAAAGGTTTTAGCCTGGCACCAAAAAGAATAAAGTGACGGCACCAGGCAAACCTCTCTGGGAAGTGAATTCTACAGTCGGGGCGCCACCACAGAGAAGGCCCTTCTCCGGGTAGCCACCCTCCTAATCTCCTTCAAGCAGGGCTCCCGGAAAAGGCCTCTGCCCCAGATCTTAAGGGGAGGGCAGGCACCTATGGAGGGAGACGCTCCTTCAGGTGACCAGGCCCTAAGCCATTTAGGTAGAGACTCATCAGGTCAGGGATGCAATTAAAACAAACCAACGAAAGATAAACAAATTTGTGTCCCAGTCTTATCCCATTTGAACACTTCTGAGAAAATGCCACCAAGTTTCTGACATTGACCATAACCTGTAAAAACGGTGAAGTTCGTATCGATCCAGGTTGTATTGTGATTCAGATTTCTCCACTGGTCAGTATGACAAGAAATGCAACTAGTTTTTTTAAGAGGAAGCGCAGTGATGGATTCCCCTGGATCGACTCCATTAAGGAAGCCACTGCCTTGACTGTAGGAGAGCTGATCGGGGCTCCCATGGACTGGCTGCTTTTCGGGGTACTCATTCAAAGCATTGCCATAAGTTGCAGACAACTTGACAGTCATATATCCAAAGGGATGTGAGCACACTTATTTTAAAATAAATGCATTTTTTCTACAAATCACACAAAACTATGCCCGGATTAGTTAAGCTTGTCTGCATTCCTGTGCTTACTTGGCATAATTTATTCTGCTGCTGCCTGTCATGAGGCAAGACAACGAATGGTGCAGAACATTTGCCCACTTGAAACCTGTCTCTCTATCCCTCCGGTGTCATCCGTGTACTCTCAAGTCATATGGATTAGAAACTTGAAAAGTGAGATTAAAGATGCTGTGTTCTGTAGCTCTTCTAAAATTCTGGGCATCCTCAGGCCACCTTATGCAGAGTTCAATTTATGGCTCAGCCTCCCCAGTCCAGAGGGACTTAAGCTGTCGCCCCATCACAGAGCTGCAGGTCAACACTTTCCTGCCTGCCATTGTTCTTTCAAAGGGACGGAGGAATAAATGGAGGGGGGATACGGAGCTGAGAAGGAGAAGCACCTTGATGCAACGTAATTAATACAAGAGAGTCACAGTTTATGTATTTCTATTACAATTCCTACAAATATTTCACTAAAAGCTTTTCATCTCAAAATACAGTCTGTAGCCACCAAAATGCGATCGAAAGGCCAGGAGTGCTTCTGTAGTGTCTATATATCTGTCTATAAAATCCTTCATCCTAGAAGGGGAATGTTCTCCCCCATGCCATGGATGCAAAAACTGATTTAGAGTAGAACAGAAGCAGAATGGACATTCTGGATTTTGTATATATTTTCTGAGCTTCTGTGTGTCTGGATTGCTCAATGAGTATGCGTACCTTTTGTTTCATGTATTTCGCTGTTGGAATAGTTCTTGGAAATATAGCACAGAAACAGCAAGAGGGAAAGACTGAATTAGCAGAACATGCTTTGCCCGACTGTTTTGACCCACAGCCTTGGCTTTAGGGCCAAAATGATGGTCCTTCCATTAGCATCCTTAACTTACCATCTTAGGATCCAAGCCTGATTTTGGACTGTTGTCCCCTGGCTGGCATCCTCTGTGCCCCATCTCCAAATTGCTCAGGAGGTCTCCCAGTCCACCAGGGAGGCTTTTGGGATGACAAAAGATGCAGGGGGTAAATGCCTCTACATACCCTTTAAATAAATTTGTGTTAAGATCCAAGTCAGTGGCAGGAAGTCAGTGCTAGAAGATGCAAACTGGTGATAGGAAAACAAGAAATGTTTGTACTCACTGAAATTCTCTGAGTTCTCAAGACCTTGGTTTTGCTCTCACCCATTTTTGTCTGCAACCCGTTTCTTGGTTAATTCAAACAGGAAAAGTGTGTTCTTCCCACACTCATTGACTGAAATGTGAAGGTGCATATTTTTAATGTGCATTTCAAGGTCTACATTTTTTCAAGAACTACTCATTTTTTATTGTGAGTAGACGTTCAGAAATTGCAGTCTTGGGGGTAAATGGGTTCCTGTTTGCTTTTGGGGTTGCCAGTGGAGCAAATTCGGATGATCTGTAAAATTCTCCTCCATCCCTGGTCAGAATATCAAACGTTATCGGCTAAAAAAAAAAAAGTCAAATCAGAGTTTTAGAGAGAAGCCCCAGGAGTTTAGGAATGTCCACAGGAGAGCTGAGTGAACTTCATGAACTAATTCTAGAAAACAAGGTTTGAGTTCAAGAGTAGGATGTGTGAGGAATCCACCCACAGTTGGGAATCTCTTGGATTTTCAAGAGGAATACAGGTGCTGGAACCCCGATCCACTTTGCAGACGCCCAGACTGCAAGTTCCTGGGTGTGCTTCTCAGGTTGCTAGGAGTCAAGCCCCATGTTCTGCTCGTGTTCCTTGCACCAAAGAAGGCCAGTGGTGG